AAGACATAACATGTTCCGTTGCTGCACCTTCTCCTTGCTTTTGGAAGGTAACTACTTTTTTCATAACCATGCTGTCAGTGTATTTCCAAGACTAGTTTTTAAAGCGGAGTCTCATTACATCAGTCTCGTCTTTAATACGTTGTCTATTTACTTTATCAATGGCTTTTGAAGCAGCCTTCAAAGACACTTGCTTAATACAGGCTTTCCATCCACTAATTAAACCTTAACAATCCCTTGTAATGAGCAACACATTTTTTCCCCCCAAAATGTAAATGTCTAAGGTGGCTGCTCATGTCAGCACTGAAGGGAGAGGTCATTTCTGAAGGATCCTCCATCACAAACATCAGAGAACAGTAAAGTCACTGAAGGGCATCCAAAGCAGAAGCAATTTTCTCACGGTCTTGACACCTTCTAGTAAATTAGTCACTTGTCGAGGAAAACGACAGCTATATAGCAATAGAAAAGCTTGTAAAGCTCTTCATTTACTGTTAGAAATGTTGTCTGTGTCACTGTCAAGCAACAGTAACATCCCCACCCTTTTTTATTCTAAAGTGCCCTATCTCAGGGGCTTTTTGCAAATCATGCCTTAATGAAGTTTGAATAACAACTATATTTCTTAGTTCTAAACACTATTTTTCTCTTACCCACATGATTGTTTTCTGAGTAAGTTAGTCCACTGAAGCTGATACACAAAATGAAAGGCTGTTGTAATTAGTGTAATATCATTCCAAGATAAAGCTATGAGAACTGCAGCTTCAGACAGCTGTCATCTCTTTGGTTATTCTGCTTATTATTCACAGACAAATTCTCATACCTTCTGCATGTTACATAGTACATTTACATGCAATTTCAGTGAAAACACTCATGGCACAAGATCTGTCAGTATCTATCTCAGAGTGTAGCCTAGAGAAAGAACGGAGCTCAAAAGCAATTTCAGACTTTTTCTTTCAGCACCGTCATCATTCTAAATAGGTACACATAAACATACGCTTTCTTTAGAGATAATTTATATGAATTCAATGCCCATTTATAATTGGCTAGATATGACAGTCACTGAAAAATGAAATCCTTTTATTTACATGACAGTCAGTATATGTACAGCAAAAGAAAAAGAATTCTAAAAATGGATGCTCTAAGGAACAGCAAGACTGATTATCTTCAGTGGTAAAAGGGTAACTGCTGTTAAATGGTAAAAAAGAAATTGGGCAAATTCACATAAATACTCTTTGGAGAATAAGCACTTATAGGCTAAAGACGCTGACACATTATGCAAGCCAATTACTGTGTGAAGTGGTGGTGGTACTCTGAATGCAAACTCATTTGTAGGATGCCTGAATATTGCAGGAAATCATCTATCTATAACACCTGGTGTTCTTCCACTGATGGCACAGATTCCCCTGAAAAGACCCACAGACTCACAGAATCGTACAATATAATTTAGAACAGAAAAGACCTCTGAAGATCCACTGCCTGCTCTAAGCAGAACTGAACTGACGTCAAAATTAGAAAAGGCTGCTCAAGACCTTATTCAGTTGAGCTTTAAGTATCTCCAAGGAATTTACAGTCTCTCCAGGCAATGTGGGAATTTCCCTCACCACAGCCTATGACTGTTATCTTCTGCTATTTCACTGTGCATTGTTGGGAAGAGTATGGCTCCATCTTCTCTGTGAACCCCACTGATACTAGACACTTCTCCGGGCTCAACAAACCCAAATCCCCAGTCTCACCTCATACATTATTTCAAAAGACCTCCAAAGACCATCTTCATGGTTAAGAATGAGAGGATCAGAAGTTCTCCAGTGTCGAGGTCTACAAGCTGAGGAGACCTGGCAAGGCACGTAAGCAAACACCACCCTTGGCTAAATGGATGCTCCCTGACAAAATGGTGACACAATACCTCTTCACACAGGCTAGCTGCTCTTGAAGAGTTCTATGTCCTATGAGGACAGGCTGAGAGAGTTGAGTTGGGAGTTCAGCCTGGAGAAGAGAAGGCTCCCCGGAGACCTTATTGCAGCCTGCCAGTACTTAAAGAGGGACTATAGGAAAGATGAGGACAGACCTTTTAGCAAGGACTGTTGCGATAGGATGAGGGGTAATGGTTTTAAACTAAATGAAGGCAGATTTCAACTAGATACAAGGAAGACATTTCTACAATCAGGAAGATGAAACACTAGCACAGGTTACCCAGAGAGGTGGCAGATGCCCCGTCCCTGGAAACATTCCAAGTCAGGCTGGATGGGGCTCTAAGCAACCTACTCTAGTTGATGTCCCTGCTCATTGCAGGGGGGTTGGACTAGATGACCTTTAAAGGTCCCTTTCAATCCAAAGATTCTATGATTCTAAGAGTTCAAGTAGCAGCAAGGTGAGGTATTAGCAGCAGCTTTATGAAATTTTCCCTTACAGGATCACAGAATGACAGAATCATTAAGGCTGGAAAGGACCTTCAAGATCAAGTCCAACCATCAACCCAACACCACCATGCCCACTAAACCATGTCCCGAAGCACCACATCCGGGCATCCAGCTAAGGTCAACCCACAACACCTATAGAAAGGAAGGCTCAGGGGGATCTTATCAATATGTATAAATACCTGAAGGGAGGGTACAAAGAAGACAGAGCGAGGCTCTTTTCAGCAGTGCTCAGTGACAGGAAAAGAGGCAATGGGCACAAACTGTAACACAGGAGGTTCTGTCTGCCCCATCCCTGGAAACATTCAGGGGGGTTGGACTAGATGACCTTTAAAGGTCCCTTTCAATCCAAAGATTCTATGATTCTAAGAGTTCAAGTAGCAGCAAGGTGAGGTATTAGCAGCAGCTTTATGAAATTTTCCCTTACAGGATCACAGAATGACAGAATCATTAAGGCTGGAAAGGACCTTCAAGATCAAGTCCAACCATCAACCCAACACCACCATGCCCACTAAACCATGTCCCGAAGCACCACATCCACATGTTTTTTGAATACTTTCGGTGATGGTGACTCCACCACCGCCCTGGGCAGGCTGTTCCAACGCCTGACCACTCTCTCAGTGAAGAAATTTTTCCTAATATCCAATCTAAATCTCCCCTGGTGAAACTTCAGGCTGTTTCCCCTCGTCCTATCGCTAGTTACTTGGGAGAAGAGACCAACACCCACCTCACCACAACCCCCTTGCAGGTAGTTGTGGAGAGCGATAAGGTCTCCCCTCAGCCTCCTCTTCTCCAGACTGAACAACCCCAGTTCCCTCAGCTGCTCTTCATCAGACTTAGTGTTCCAGACCCCTCACCAGCTTTGCTGCCCTTCTCTGGACACACTCCAGCACCTCAACATCCTTCTTGCAGTGAGGGGCCCAAAACCAAACACAGTTTTGTGTGGCCTCACAGTGCCGAGTACAGGGGTACGATCACTTCCCTACCCCTGCTGGCCACACTATTCCTGATATAGGCCAGGACGCTGTTGGCCTTCTTGGCCACCTGGGCACACTGCCGATGCATGTTCAGCCAGCTGTCGACCAGCACCCCCAGGTCCTTTTCTGCCCGGCAGCTCTCCAGCCACTCCTCCCCAAGCCCGTAGTGTTGCATGGGGTTGTGGTGACCTAAGTGCAGGACCTGGCACTTGACCTTATTAAACCTCATACTAAACACTTTTACTAATTACTAATCACTCATTTTACTAATTACTAAACACTTCTACAGATAAGATACAGAATCGCTGAAAATCTAGCAACTTGCTTTTCAAAAGGAAAAAGGTCAGAGTTAGCAGCTTGGTTTCAGCTGGCTTCTCCACAGAGATCACTCCCCTTTGTTTGTACGAAACATCTTGAAAATCTTCTTCTATGGGTTTCATCTGAGTTACAAAAACCACAGTTAAATAAAAAAAGTGAACATGGCACTGAAACCAATTTTGCATAAACCCACCAGGCTATGGAAATCCTTTCCCACGATGACCCCAAACCAGTGCATAGCCTATGGAACTGCTGGAAGACTCTCCACAGAGCTAAAAAGTGTGATACTCTTCTATTCAAATTCTGTCAGAGTAAGATTAATACAAAGATCATGCACCTCCTGGAGCATAAAGATTACCTTCCCTCCACATGGAGATTGAGGAATACATTTTAGGACATCTCAATTCAGAAAGCTCTCTTGAAGTCCTTGTGGAAAGGCTTGTGGTCAAAACCTAGTTAAAGATATTTACTCCTTTGAGCTTTAGTTTAAAACCCACTTCTTCCTTCAGATACAGCCCACATACTGTCAGGGCTTTTCTTTCTTTTCCTTTGTTTCCAGATTATATAAGAAATTCACTTCATCTTTAAAGAATAGTTTCTACCCTTATGAAGGAGAAAATTATTATGTCAAGTTTCTTCAGTTAGCATACCTGTACAGCAATTTTTTTTCAATAAAAATAACCTTTTGTTAAAGGTTTCATTAGATTTCCCAGGAAACTGATAAGCCAAATCTTCAGCCATCTGCAGGAACCACTACAGACTCTGATCACACACTCTCAACAGTGAAATTCTTCTCAACACTTTTGTTCAGACAATGGGATCTCTGTATTTTCCAAGTGCTTAATCACACCAAGGGCAGGAGACCAAGGCCTTTACCCATGCTGAACACCCTAATAGTCTTAATGAAAAAGAGGTCTCAGGCAAATTATTAGTAAAATGTAAAATCACAAGGAAATTATCCTCTCCGTTTTCAGTACCAAGAACGGATTACTTCATAGAGGCCTATAGATAGAAAGTTCTTTTAAAGCCCACATGCTTCATCTTTAGAGCAGGTTACTGTAAAGATACTTGAATACCAAGAATAAATCCTCTCCTACACTCCAAGCATACTATCATGTTCCTAGTACTTTAACATCCAGCAAAGCAGCAAAACTGTACAATGGGTCCACTTCCCAGAACACTTCAAGTGCTTCAGTCACTTAGTTTCCAAACTAGCTACTGTAAAAGAGTAAAGACTCTACTTAAATGCCACACTCCAACACCTTAGATATTTGGAGGCTGCATGGAGAAAGCTTACCCCTTGACTGCAAACCATGTCCACACGCCTCACTCTGTCCCAGCACAGCCTGTCTCACCGAATCCGGCACCAGCACACAGTGACTCCAGTGGTGGGTCTTCCATCTGCAAGAGGAAAAGGTTAACAATTAAGTGGTTAAAACTTGAAAACACTTAACATGTCCAGGCAAAAACTTCAGTTACGAATGACAATATACTGTGGAAACCAAAGGAAAAATAGAGTCAAAAAGCTGTAATTACTCCTGAAACGAGTATTGTGAACTGAAATTCACATGCAAGGTTCATCTTCTAGAAAGCCACATCATCCTCCAACCGTGTTTCCCTGTCTTATTTTTGTAGGGCATGGTTCAAAATCACATAAAATACACAGGAAACACCTTCAGTAAGCTTTGAAATCAGGCTCTCCTCCTGCAAGCCCATTCTCATACAACTGATGCTGTACCCAATCTGCTCTCTGTGCTAGGATGTGTGCCCGTCAAGAACACGAGAAAGCAGCTTTCCACAGCGCTATGTGGTACGGAGCCAGGCAGAGCTGAGTGGTGTGACTTCTGCTTTGGCACCACCTTCAGGCCCCCGCTCTGCTCTGAGACTGTGTCCTACAGGATGTGTGGCCTGGAGATTTATATGCAAAGATATCACACTTTTCTATTTACTAACATTGTATGACAGATGGGTCACAGAATTTTAATGAAGAGTGGTGAGTAATTGCCCTATTGTACTATTTGTCTAATCAGAATTTTTTGAAGTGCATATTATTCACCGGAGTGAGAGCATCAGGGGAAAAGACAAGAGTTTCTGCAATAAGCATACAATTATGATTAAGGCAGTTGAGTGCTTGTGGTCCCAAAATAGCTTACACTGATTTTTAGATACACTGAGGGGGGAAGTTCCCAGTAACAGCTTCCTTACATTGATTTTTAGATACACTGCGGGGGGAGTTCCCAGTAACAGCTTCCTTAAACACTTCGAACCCTGAGGTTACCATTTCTAGGAGCTGTGTCTCGTGGTGCTTGTTCTGATCATGCCAGATCTACCGAAATCTCCAATCTGAACTCTACTTTTAGACATTTTGCAAGGTACATTATTTGTTTATATAAGTCTGCATTTTCCAGTATCGTGTGGTTTTCTGGTGAAAATTGTGCAGGACAATCACACAAGAGTAATTTCTAGAGAAGTGGACACCCACTAGCAAGAGACTGATTCCAAGCTAACACTTTTTACCTATACACTGGACAGATGGGAATATCTTCACATTCTCTTTCCTCATACAAGGTGTCCGGGCATGCCTGTCCCCCATTGGCAGCATCCTGAACAATAATCCTATACCGGGACTGCTTAGCTGTAGTGGCATTGCCTGTAAAATAAAGAAAAAAATTGCCTTCCAGACACAGTTGGCACCCCAAGATAGTGATCTACCTGTCTTGGTTAAAAACATCCTTCATATTTCATTTATATTTTGAAATCATGAGCACTCTGGCACTACCCAAAGAAGGGAGGGAACGGTATGTTGAATCAAAAGCTATCATTACTTGCTTTAGAATTGCCAGTAGTTCAGCAGAAGAGCACCTGGAAGGTTGATAAATCAACAGCCTAAGAGAAGCACCAAAAAAAGTGTATTTAACAGAACATCAAATCAGACAAGAAAATATGAGAAAATATGTTTAAACATTTGAACATGAGGAAAGAATAAAAAACAAAAAACCAAACTGTCATTATGGAAGATTTTGTTTCTGAAAACACATTCTGGTGGTCTCAGACTGCTACCAGTAACCCATTTTATGGGTCTGGAAATTATAGATGATAACCTCCTGATAAGAAAACCATTGCAACCAAGAGAAACTAACTCTCTACTTAATCTGAGTCAATGAAAGATCAGTCCACCTGGAAACACAGTTCACAAAATAAAGAATGCAGCATGAAAGGCAAAGATAAGATTTATCTATATATAGCTAAAAGAAATGTAATCCTTGGCTGCGTTAAGTGGTTAAGTACAAACTGAGAGCTGGTTTAACCACTGTGTATGGCATTAGTGCTTCTTCACATAATGTATTCATTCTTCAAAAACAGATGCTACAAAACTGAACAGAGATCTTAACAGAACCCCATAAAAGACTCCAGACCAGGAAAACATCTTTTAATAGTGGACTTAGTAAAATTTGTCCAAGAGAATAAAGCGGTGTGTAAATTAGTCCACTTATGAGTATTATTTTTCCAGCTCAAGATAAGGCCAAAGCTGCTGTAGCAAGACTACAGTGCATTAGAGTAGAAGGAAAACTTGGGAAAAGTCATGCCACGAACACAAAGTGCAAGTACAGATCCAGTGAAAATGGTTGTCGCTAAAATATCAAGCCATACAAGCCTTCACTCGCACATGTGCTATCACTGCAAAGGGATTTTGGAGCGGGCAAGAGATTGCTCACCCCAGCTGCTACCCTGAGGCAGGATCAGCGCACCCAGGGCAATCCCTCCTTTAACAGCCACTACCTCAGCCAGCTCTACGGCTTCCTACAGTCTCCTTTCAGGTGCCTGAATCAGCGCTTGTAGAGCCTCACAGAGAGCCTTTTCTTAAAATCTAGCCAAAGTCATTGCTCCTGTAAATTAAGCGAAACCTTTTTTATCTCTGTCAACTAGACATAGAAAGTATTTTATCCCTATCATCTGACGCATAGCCTTTCTGAAATGTTAAAGGTTTGTATCCACCCTAAGTCTTCTCTCTAAACTAAGTAAACCCAGTTCTTCGCAGGTCCTATTCAATCATCTCTCATTGCTCACTTTCTCACAACACGGCACACGAGGAATCCCACCTGCAGCCTCACCAGTGCACAGTACAGTAACGCTTTTGATGTTTTACATACATGCCCATAAGTTTGACAAGGCCAGCATGAGTTTCAGCGTTTCATATTGTTGATTTTCATTCATTTTATAGTCCATTGTATCTCCAGACATGCCTGAGACAGTACTGAGGTCTTTACTCCCCATTCTGTCTCTGTGCAGTCAATTTTTCCTTCTCCAGTCACATTTTGAGAAATTTATTAATAATTTCAGTATCACTTCATATCGCATCAATTGTGTTTCCTACCTCTTTCAGCTCTGCACCACCCACAAATGTTATTATTTAAGTATGCAAGCTGTTCAGACAAATATGACACAGAACTGGGACAAGAAGAGTTTTCTGTACGACTCTCCTGGGCTCATGTTCCGGTTTGATCATGAATAGTGGACATCTCTCAGCTGACTAACTGGAAGCAGCTTTGCACAGAAGGATGTGGGAGTCCTGATGGACAAGTTGACCATGAGGCAACAACGTGCCCTTGCAGCAAAGAAGGGCCAACAGCATCCTGGGCTGCATTAAGAGAAGCACCACCAGCAGGCCGAGAGAGGTGATCCTTTCCCTCTCATCAGCACTATGATGAGAGGGAAATACATCAGCACAGGGTGCCGTGTCTAGTTCTGGGCTCTCCAAGAGAAGGAGGACATGGGCATGCTGGAGCAAGTTCCGTGAACTGCCACAAAGACTATTTAGGGACTGGAGCATTTGACACACAAGAAGAGACCAGGAAAGCTGGGACTCTGCAGCCTGGGGAGGAGAAGGCTCACGGGATCTTATCAATGTGTATCAATACCTGATGGCAGGCAGTAAAGGAGACAAGAGCCAGACTCTTTTCACAGTGATATCCACTGTGAGGTTTTTCAAGCAGCTGAGTATCCATTTAACAGTGATTTAATTCAAGTCACTGTTCCTCAGCTTCCTGATAAAAGTTTCATGTGTCAAAAATCTACCACTTCCCTTAATTAGAGCAGCTATGCTGTCAAAAGAGGAGATTAAATTCATTGGGCACAATTTGTTCTCAATAGATCTATACTGGCCAGCTTATCAGAATCTGATTCTTGCAATGTTTATAACTCAAGTAATAACTTGCTCTTATGTTTTTCTATATAACAAAGTTAGTATCTACAAGCAATCCACAATTTCCTTGACCTTTCTTTTTTGAGGGGAGAGTGTCGGTTGGTTTGGTTTGTCTTGGTATTACTGGGTTTTAGTTAGTTCCTTAGGACTTGGCAATTTCTCACACAGAAGATAGTCACTAGATGCTCTGGTGTTACTTTATTACTTCCTTCTCTATTCACACAGCCCTGCTGACATGGGAACATCTAATTTATTGAAATACTTATTTTTTAGTCCATTCCTCTCCTGGTTGCAGACAGGAAACAGCAGCAGCAATTGCACATTCCCCATGTTGTGTTTCCCTTGTTTCTCAGTAAGCAATGGACAAATACTTCATTCAGCTTCCCCTTACTTCTAACCCATTTATGTAATAGTTTTTATCAAATATCCTCCTATAGCTTAATTTGCATTCTTGATTTCTATACTATATTTTTTAATTCACTTTCTGTTACATGCTTGTTTCTAATTTTTGTGAAACAATTTGACAATCAAAAAGGAAGCAAGGTTCTGAACAACTCTGATGACAAGAAAAGCTAAAAACAGGGCTATGTTTTCTCTTCATGGTTTGAAGCTTGAACAGGCAAGTCATATATATACCTTGTTCCCCTGTGCTACTGGCTTGCTCTTACAATAGTTTCAGGATAGAAAGAACAGTCCAGCTGGGCTTCAACCCTTCATACAGTCTTCCTCGGTAGCTTCCAGGTCTTCTACACTCCTGACTGCACAGAACATGTTTCCAAGGGCTGTAGCTATGAATTCTTTCCATTTGTTGAAGTCTGTCTTTTTTTTAAACATCTTGCTGATATTGCCATCCTTCCCTTCTCCTAAGAATCCTGAACTCTATCACTTTGTGATGATTTTCATTCAAATTATCTACCACCATTAGAATCTTAGCCATTTCCTTCCTATTAATCAGTACCAAATCTAAATGAGCTTCCCACAGTAATTTTCTCCACCTCAAGAAACTAAATTATCCTCAACATTTATTGCACATTACTCAAACCCCATTTTCAAAATTGAATTTCCTCATTGGCTTTTCTACAGCATTCCTAACAAATTGTTAATGAACATAATTTTTATATTTCATTTAAAATTGCTACAGCCTGATTTTCCAGAGTATTAGCATTATGTAGGACTGTCCTTTTAAAGCCAAACTTCAACTGATTTCAAGTCTGGCTATGGCTGCTTGCCCTCCTGAAAAAAAATCAAGCCTCAGGATCTCAAGAGAATCTTAACTTCTGTGTCCTTGACTCTGTAACTCAGAAAATGCTGTATGAGAATTTTGGGGGTGTATTACCACTGCTTCCACTCCCACCTCCCTGACCCACCAGTCTCCCTTTCCTTATACGCACATCCATACAACTCCTCCTATCAATCCACTCTTCTCAGACCTCCCTTGCTCTTGCATCTTTCCTTCCTCTGCTTTTGACCCCCTGGGCTTCCCCAATACCCTGACCAGGGCTCAGAAAAGTACATCACCGTTCTCAGGTGAAGGACAAAATCCTTGTTCACTACTGTAGAGTCTGCTATATCTGGTCCAGCTTTTACAGGAAACATTCAGCTTCATACTCTTTGCTTATGAGCAGAGGGAAAGATAGACTTTGGTCAACACAAGACTGAGCACACAAATAATGAGGACAGCCTCTCCACGATTTTCATCACCAAAACTAGAGCTGTCTTCAGTACTTTTGTGCAGACAAGAGCTTTTGAAGGGCTAAGTCTTTAACTTTGACCAACTCTGGTTGGGTGTTTGTTTATGAGAACTGAAAATGGCAGATCCTTGACAGAAACTGCCTGACACAAGGGAAAGGTCACTGGAATTTCTTATTGTGGTACACCATGGATTTTATCCACTTCTACTCCATCTTGTTTCAAATTTGATTTAAGGCATGAGGAAATGAATAGGACAGTTGCTACCTAACATTTAATGTAAACTTGTTTAGAGGATTAAGCAACAGTGAAATTTCTAACCTTCCCCCTGGACAACCAATGCCCAGAAGAGGAAAGGTACTTACAGGTACCATCCATTTTCAGGAGGGAGATGAAAAAATGTTATTTATTATCAGATATTCATTTTTTTTTTTTAACAACCACCCCACACCATC